CAAAGATTAGTTGACCATACATTTGTGGGTCCAAATCTGGGGTCTCAATTATATTCTATTGGTCTATGTGTCTGTTTTTGTGCGAATACCATGCTGTCTTGATGATTACAGCTTTGTAGTAGAGGCTAAAGTCTGGGATTGTGGTGTCTCCAGCTTTGGTTTTCTTTTTCAACATTACTTTGGGTATTAAGGGTATTCTGTGGTTCCATACAAATTTTAGGATTGCTTGTTCTGGCTCTGAGAAGAATCCACATTGTGATACCACCTCACATGGGTCAAAGTGGCTAAAATTAACAATTCAGTAAACAAGAGATGTTGGTGAGGATGTGGAGAAAGGGGAACCCTCTTGCATTTTTGGTAGAAATGCAGACTGGTGCAGCCACTTTGGAAAATAGTGTGGAGGTTCCTCAAAAAATTAAAAATATAATTACCCTACAACCCAGCAACAGCACTGAAAGGAATGTATCAAAAAGATACAGGAATGTTGATTCATAGGGGTGCATGTATCCCAAGTTTACAGCAGTGCTATCAACAATAGCCAAATTATGGAAAGAGTCCAAATGTCCATCAACTGATGAATAGATCAAGAAGATGTGCTTCATATATGTGTGTGTGTGTATAATGCATATATATGTTAATATATATATATAAAATATATATACACATATATACACACACAAAGGAATACTATTCAGCAATAGAAAAGAATGAAATCCTGCCATTTGCAACAATGTGGATGGAACTTGAGGGTATTATGCTAAATGAAATAAGTCAGTCAGAGAAAGACAGATACCATGTTTTCACTCATGTGTGGAATTTGAGGAACTTAACAGAAGACCATGGGGGAGGGTAAAGAAAAAAATAGAAACAAAGAGGGAGGCAAACCATAAGAGGCTCTTGTTATTAAGAGAACAAACTGGGGGTTGGTGGGGGTGGGGGCAGGGAAAGGGGGTGATGGACATTGAGGAGGGCACTTGTTGGGATGAGCACTGGGTGTTGTATATATGTGATGAATCACAGAAATCTATTTCTAAAGCTAAGAACACACTGTATGTGAGCTAACTTGACAATATATCAGATATATAAAAATAACATGACTCCCCAGTTATATCAATATCCCTATCACTGCATGCACAAAGGCCCAGCAATGTCTATGGCAACATTTTCTTCTTTATCCAGACAGTCAATAAAATGTTGAAGAAATCCCCTCAAATTTTCTTTGCACATTGCCATATTTATGTATGTTGCTCAAATCACAAGTTTTGGCCTAGAGACTGCTCACCAGCCACTGTATCTCTGTTGCTGGCTCATCCTGCAATATCACCTACAAACATTTTCATGTAGATCCCCACATCAGGTCTCTGCCTCCGATGTGCCACTAACATCACAGCTTAAGGTTCCCTCTTCCCAAGAGCTGGAAGTGCCACATGTGAGTGGTGAATTAGCATTAAAACTAAGATGAAGAATTGAAGAATGCATCAGATGAGAGCTGGAAAATACTGTGTCCTGCATGTCAGGGTTCTGCAGGTCAGCTCTAGGCCAGGTTGGTGTCAGTTGCATCTCTTCTGTAGAGGTTGAATCCTCACCTCTACGTCTCAGAGAAAGATATGACCTGATATCGTCACCTCAAGCAGGGAAAAGTGGCCACCTCTAAAGTACACAGAGCTCTATGGTGTACCTGACAGCCCCCAAGAAAAGTTTTTTAAAAGTTCAAAAAATACATAAAATATTAGAATTAGGTGACAACATTAATTTTACTTGAGGATGGTATCAATGTCCACTTGAAAAGACAAGAGAATAAACTACAAAGAAAGAGGTGAGAATCAGGACTCAAGTTTCAAGAGTTGATCAGCTTAATCACCAAATATATCAGACATCAACCACTACCTTACATACCTACAATATGTAGTTTGAAAACATAATGGAAATAGATTATATTCATGATAGTGTCACACGTGCAGATATACACAATCAAAACTTCATAAAATTTTAGGAGAAATATAATGAAAATATGTATGAAGGACACTGTAAGTCTTTACTGAGGGCTATAAAAGATGGCTATATGGATAGATACCATGTCCATGGATAGGTAGACCCAATATTTTACAAAAATATCATTTTCTCAAAAATAATCTAAAAATTCATATAAATAGCATGGCCTCAAGGTCACTGATAATACCGTGGAGAAATAAATATTTGAGAATTAGCCTCTTTTTTTTTAAAGAAGAGAAATGTGGAAGTACCTATTCTATCAATTCATAAAATAAATTGTAAAGCTTCAATTTCTGGAAACCGCTATCTTCCCCTGTATAAATGTTCTGGACATTTACAGTACTTATGTCAGCTGCATTGCCTTTTTATCTCTTTTGTCTCACCCCGTTAAAAAGAATAGAAATTAATTAAGGGACAGACCCTCATTCTTTCACTTCGTTGTCTCCATGCAGTAGCACAGAGGCTTTGTAAAGTATATACGGCATGCCTTTCATAGAGACACGCAGGGGTTATTTGAATGTAATTAAAAATTTTATTACTAGAATATTCCCACTGTAATAAGGAGCCTGACCTCATTTGTGATGTTTGGCTGCTGATTTCTTTCTAAGCTTTGGTCTCCCTTTCCCCTGCGGCTCCACATTTGGACAGGCTGATCAACAAAGCTCATCCCGCAACTTTTTGTCTGATACCAGTTGGAAATTTAAGCCTTGAAAATCTCTAGCCCAAGTAAATGGGAACTTTCCCCAGTCCTACTTCCTAGTCACTACCTGGGCCCAGCCCACTCCTGCTGCTTGGTCAAGCCAGCCTGGACATTCCTGAGCCCACTCTGCTCTCCTGGGAGTTCCTGTATGAGTAGTAATCTTTCTCTCAAAATTTTTTGGTATGTGGAGTATTATCAGCCTTGGCATCTGAATGGGATGACCAGAACACTCATATGAGGCAAAGTTATGACTGGAAAAAAAAAAAAAAAACTCCATTTTTTTTTTAAGTCAATTTGAAATGTGGAACAACAAATAATGAAACTGAGCATGTGACTCTTGCTTTTGGGGTCGTGAATTTAAGTCCCACGTTGGGCATAGAGTTTACTTAAAAAATAATGTAACTGAATATCTGCAATGACATATATCATTCAAACTTAGTCTTTAAATACACTGAATGGATATATTTCTTTAAAAAGCATCATTAGGCTGAAAGCTCACCAGGACAAATATATAAATATTCCCCCCAAATAAATGTCATAATTATCATATTATTGTTTTGATTATACATTTTCCAGCAGCAACATTTTATATATTGAACTATTCCATAAGAACTACCTACATATTATGGTATCTTTATTTCCTTTCCGCTAATACTTTCACTAAGTAAGTATCTCCTAAGCAACCTCCCAAACTATTATTCTGTCTTTGTGAGAAGGCTTCAGAAGAATGAATATATCCAAGTTCCTGCATCCTAGCCAAAGCCTAAACTAATAAATTGGCAGGATCAGAATCATGTTCAACAACTTCCCTTGGATTCATACCTGCCAAATCTCTACATGGACAGATAGGGAGATCTTGGCAACACCTTGAGTTTAGATTTGACTTATTCATATTTTAGTTGAAATATCTTACTCTGCCAATATATTCAATGCATTTGATTTTCAAGCACTTCTGCTGATAAGTGCCTAAATTCTCATTAAAGCGATTCTTTTTACAAAAAGGAAACATACCAAGAGAAAGATCCAGGCTATTCTCCATTTGCAACATTTCTTTCTTCCACTTCTGTTTTTTTGTACCTCTAGTTCACTTCTAATGATAGATGTTTAGGTTTTTCTCTGGCTTTTCTAAATGCATTCACATTTCTTTCAACTAGCTATTTCTTTTTTTGTTTCATGAGAGGAAGGCAAACACGTGCAGAGAGGAAAAGGATGGGTAAAATAAAGAACATAAACTTCTAAATGTCTGTCTTCTTTGTGTAAAGGGTACAGGAGACATTTGTTTGTTTTATTAATCATTTCATTTTAAATCCAAGAAGCTGTGTGAGACAGACAGAAAATGCCAGCAAGGATGACATGACAAAGAGGCTAATAAACTGCAGAATTGCTCAAACCATTGAGAGAAGCCTAACAGCATAAAGTGCCTCCTGGGAACGGAGCAGGTACTGAGCCAGAGCGGGTCACAGCCAGGCTAAACACCACACTGACAGTGAGGAAGGAGAACACACCAGATAGCTAAAATAGTTCCTAAATGCTGCAAAATAGTACTGCTTATGAATTATATCTTGATAATTAAGATAATAAGATAAATTAAAGATCATTGCTTCTAATGTCTTACCATATATCATGTAATTGGAAAACAGTGACGGCTTGTGTTTATTTTTTTCAGTTCATGGCGTATTTAAATTTTTTTTTAATGTTTGTTTGTTTGTTTATTTATGTATTTATTTATTTATTTAGAGAGACAGAGTGTGAGCAGGACAGGGGCAGAGACAGAGGGAGACACAGAATCTGAAGCAGGCTCCAGGTTCTGAGCTGCCAGCAGAGTCCGACGCGAGGTCTGAACTCACAAACCAGAGATCATGACCTGAGCCAAAGTCAGACGTTTAACCGACTGAGCCACCCAGATGCCCCTGATGGTGTATTTTAAAGAAAACAAACAAACAAACAAACAAACAAACAAACAAACAAAACCAAGTATTTGTATTTGTCACAGGCACCAAAATAATTTGAGTATTTCTCATACTAATGGTATAACAAATACAATTCAAATAATTTCAACCACTAACTATACTCGTGTAATATATCCTTACAAATAGGTAACGGCTCCTTGTTTTATACATGCATGTGACTTTCTGACCTTGTTGTTGTTGTTGTTTTTAATATTTACTCATCTATTACACTGTTTTGTGCTTTGGACTGACAATGTTGGTGACAAAAAACATCCTTTTGAAAGATATGCCCTCAAAAATGATTTATTGTATCCCTTTACATGAAAATTAAAGAGAGTGAAACGTTAGTCACAAGTTACCTTCTTGATAGTCTCCAGCATGGAACGCCCTCCCTGCCAGGGCTTAGAGTTCTTTCTGATGCATGACAAACTTGCCATGCTGTGCCATTTTCGGTCCTCCAGTTTCTTATGAAAAGCATTAGCAAGCAGAAGCACCGTGTCATATATGTAAAGGTTTGAAATCTGAAAAGACATTAGACAGTAATCATTAGAATCACTGATGCCAACCATCAAGAATTAGGAGAAAATCATCAGCTCTGCTGCCTCCGTTCATGTCATAGATGGCTGGTTTACTGGGTTATTTATTAAGCAAAAGGTGTCTTTTTTTCATTTCCTGGGCAATTTTGCCGTTGACAATGAAGTCTTGTCTGATTGTATGCCTCAATTGCTTTTTCAGCTTATTTAGGTGTGAAAGAGAAGATAAAAAAGAAGAGTTTCGACAGAGGCAAGGCTGTTAGTGTCAGACCTTAGAAAATCACTGGCCCTTATTTCTTTCTGAAGAGGTAAGGATCTAAGGGCTTCAGATTGGAAGGGCAAACTGAATAATACATTTTCTGAATATGTCAAGTCTTTGCATTCTGATTATTCAGATGGAGAAATATCAACTCGATCTTACATATAAAATAAGTGTCATAGGTGCTAAAAAAAAAAAAAGAAGAAGAAGAAGAAGAAGAAGAAGAAGAAGAAGACATGTGTGTATATGTGCATGTCTATGGGGATGTGGTAATGAAAAAAATGAGAAAACGCATGGCCATTGATAAAATTACAATTATCAAGGATCTACACAACATTATCTAGGTATACACATACATTCTAATTCATTAACATGACAGATACCATTATAAATAAGTGACCATATAAATAAATATAAATAACTGTGAATATGTATTTAAATTAATGCTTCTTCTTAAAGCAATCATGTCATTATTTTCCTTCTATATAAATTGCAAAAAAGAGTCATGAAAATTGTCACTATGATCTGTTGCATTCTTACACTTACTCTTGACAGAACTAATATCTATGCTGTCATTTGTAGAAGGTGTTTATTTTTCAAAGAAATTAGAACTTATTTAGAAAACATAAACATCAAGAGATATTCAAAGTCAATAAAGGCTGTTAGATGTTTTATTATTACTCCTCTGAAAGAAAAATGCAACATAAAGTAAAACAAAAATGAGAAATCAATGTAGCTATGAAAGTTAAATCCATCTTAAGGTATTTAAATTTCTTCAGCTTTTTAAAAGTATCTTGGTATCACAGTTTTCTTCCTGAAAATAAAAGGGACAATATGTTGACTGCCCTTTGCTTATAAGTAATTATGAAGGAATCTTATGAAATTGTCTGCCCACATCACGAAATGGCACTAAATTCCAACTACTGGGATGAAAGTTTAATGCTATGAGAAACTGTTAATAAGCACTTCCTAATAGTGCCTTGTGAGTTTTCTTTCTTTACTAGGTGAATCTTTAATCATTTGTGTATATCAAACATCGTTTTATATGTGTAACACTAATGGAAGGCAGGCCTTTCTTAAAAGAGACATTGCATACTCTCATGCACTATGTGAAATACCAACTTGTTATTTAAAAGGAAATACTGTTTTTAAAAAATTTTTAATGTTTAGTTATTTTTGAGAGATGGAAAGAGACAGAGTGTGAGCAGGGGAGGGGCAGAGAGAGAGGGAGACACAGGATCTGAGGCAGGCTTCAGGCTCTGAGCTGTCAGTACAGAGCCCAAAGTGGGGCTTGAACTCACGAACTGAGAGATCATGACCTGAGCCGAAGCTGGACGCTTAACCGACAGAACCACCCAGGTACCTTGTTCTTTGTAAGGAAATAGTAAGGCAGGCTATCCTCACCTTCACCTCCCTGCCCTTCCCCTGCCAGATAATTACTAGACAGACTAGGGGAGTAGCTTAAATCTGCAATAAATGAAGAGTTGAAGATAAAAGTAGTTGATGAATCAAAATTCAGTCTGAATTAGACTGTGAAGACCCAAAAGGAAAACCTTTTGACAATTTCTCAATAATTTGCAATAATCTGGCCGCTTTTAACCTTCCTTTGCTTCACTGCCTCAATCGTGCTTGCTCTTATCTCTCTAGCTTTATTTGGCTTCTTCCTCTGACTGATTGCTTTCAAGTGTATATATGAAATTGTTGGAATAACACTCTTTGATGTCTTGTTACCTTTCTCCAACTAGTTAACATCTAATATCCAATTAACAGGTCAGAAGTTAGGAGAATCCTATCCTGACAACTTCTCAGGACCCTACCAGCTTCCAGGCTAACTGGGCAGTCTCCTTTAACACACGCGTGCCTGTACTGGAACATATCATAATTCTAAGATTTCTTAATCTGGTTTTCCCACTAGAACATGAGCTCCTTCTGGATAGGGGCTCATCATGTACAAATTTTTCCCCTTTGTACTTTTGTTTCCTAGCGGCTAGCACACATTCTGATAAATAGTTGTCAAACAAAAGAAGATGAAGAAAAGAAAGGCAGGTTTAACATCAGGCATGTTTGACAGAAGTCAAGATGTGAGAAACCTGACAACTTGGGTTCCATCCAAATCTTGACACTGTGGTGGCACAGTGTCTTCTGTGAGCTTTGAGGCATGTACCTTGAGCATCCACGCCATTCCTAAAGACGAGTGCTTTGCATTTGATATATATGACTGGTGTTTTCAACAAAAACTGCCTCTATTCATTTGCCCACCTTCCAAACTGTGGGATCGAAAGGAGGTAGTGACATTTTGTGAGCTTTCAATTACCCCTTCCATTACTTCTATCTCAGGAAAGCACCTGTTCTTTTTTTGAGGTTCATGCTCTTTCCTATACTATACTTTAGAGTCCCTTTCTGTTATCACCTACCCGTCTCTTGGCCACTCTGTATTCATGAGGTCTTTGACTCCTCTTTCACAGTGATTCCAAACTTTTGCCCAGCATTAAAAAAAAAAAAAGTCACTGCAATTTCTACAGAGATGAATTTGACATCTGCTCTGGCTACATCTAACACAAATGACTATTACTGGACACAAACACATACCTCCTCTAACATCTTAAACTCCATTTTCCCACCAGCTGACCAATTATTTCCCTCTCACTCTCACTACACGTGTTTTCCAACTTAACTGAGCACCAGCACCCACCTTCTCTATCTGACAACCTTCTGATATTTGATAACATCCATCAATTGCCCTGAAACATTCTCTTTCCTTCAATTGTTCATTATCTTGTATAATTTCTAGGCTGTTCATCATCTCGGCATTTTTCTTCTTTCCTTCTCTTTCTTTTTTTTATGTTCCTGTTCAGAGTTTAGAACTTATAAACAACACATTATTGCAGATACAATCTGACTAGAACAGAATAGTATAAGGTTACGTCTCTTTTTTTTTTTTCAATTTTTTTTCAACATTTTTTTATTTATTTTTGGGACAGAGAGAGACAGAGCATGAACAGGGGAGGGGCAGAGAGAGAGGGAGACACAGAATCGGAAACAGGCTCCAGGCTCCGAGCCATCAGCCCAGAGCCTGACGCGGGGCTGGAACTCACGGACCGCGAGATCGTGACCTGGCTGAAGTCGGACGCTTAACCGACTGTGCCACCCAGGCGCCCCTAAGGTTATGTCTCTTGATCATAGCAAAATGCTCTGACATGGAGACCAAGATTACACTGAAATGGTGTAGAGCAAATGAGACTTGCGCTATGTTCAAACAAAATTGGCCTTCATCTCAATAACCTTAAACAGCTGTCAAACCAGGTCTCATCCAACTAGACTTAGGGTAACGACTTTGAGCCTATACTTTATCTCTTTGAAATTTCAACTTTTACGTTTATTATTTGGGGAGTATTAATAATTTGGATCTTGATCATACAGCCCAGAATAAGGTTTCTCTCCTAGCTTTACGTCATTTGCAAATCTGATAGGCATGCTTTATTCATTTTTATTTGTGTAATGGTAAACATTTGAAAATATAAGTACAAGAACAGTATTTTTGGATGACCATAGAGAGTTCCTCATACTTCAAGAGTAGAATGTTTATCACTGTGGTTGAATGTTCTTCTAGTTCCATAGTTCCTAAATTGAAGTAAAATAAAGTATGCATATTAGAAGTGCTCAAAGCTACAAAATATATCTGAGCCATGTTGTAGGCATATCAAATTTGCTCAAAGATTTGGAGGGTAAGAAAAATAACTAGTAAACTATTTGAAAAATTACTTTTAATTTTAAATAAACTCATAAGTTATGAGTTTATCCTTTTAAGGATAATAATGAGACTGTCTATATTTTGAATTTTTTAAATTTCCTTTTGAAAAAAAAATCTGAAAACAGAGTGTTTACTACTATCTTCTATTCTTAGTCCTTTATTGAAAATCTTTGAGTGACATCAATCTATCTAGACTTTTTAATGCTTCCCTATAAGATTTTGTGCTTTCCTATAAATTTTCCTTAAAAAATGTCAAACACAACATAAAAATCAACATACAATAAATAGATTTATAAAATTCTCTCAATATAAACAATTAGTAAACAGGATTTGACTTGCCAGTGCTTGTTCTTAAGAGAGTCCTATGGTCACATATGAAGGACCCCAAATGATATACTTAATAATACATTCTACAGTTTATCCAAATAATTCATCAACCTTTAATATACTATACTCTGTCAGAATCTTTTTTCCTTCCTTTTGAAATGTGGAACGATATACCAATTTCACGTACTGGGGTCTTCTTCTGAGGTATTTCTCCAGTATTTCTAAATTATAATATTGTGATCGTATCTACCACTTTATTTACTATTCTTAACAATTATTATTTAAGCTTCATTTTAAAGCAGTAAGGTATACTCTTACCATATCCAAATCCCTGCTCTTTAAAAAAAAGTGGTTTAATTAAAAAAAAAATTTATTCTAACTTTTCCAATTTGAAGACAATTTTTCTTAGATGGAGATGACAGAAGCAAACAAACAAACAAACAAACAAACAAACAAACAAACAAAAAACACTGACTTTTCTATTTTCTCTCCATTAGCAACCAAGCTAACATTAGTTTCACCAAGCAGTGAATGACTCACTTTCTTCTTCTTGCTTCATATATTGCTAAAACCTTTGTTTATAGAGCTAAAAGTTTCCTTTAACATTTATTTTGCAACTTCAACTCATCCTGGATTTTAGTCTTTCTGGCACTAATTTAAAGATTTGGGAAACTTGTTTTTTGTTCCTTCTAAACCTTTTCTTTCTATGTACATTAAATTAAGGGGCACCTGGGTGGCTCAGTTGGTTAAGCCTCCGACTTCAGCTCAGGTCATGATCTCACGGTCTGTGAGTTCAAGCCCCGCATTGGGCTCTGTGCTGACAGCTCAGAGCCTGGAGCCTGTTTCGGATTCTGTGTCTCCCTCTCTCTCTGACCCTCCCCCATTCATGCTCTGTCTCGCTCTGTCTCTCTCTGTCTCAAAAATAAATAAATGTTAAATTAAGTAACAGCCCAAAGATCTCTACACAGGCCCACTGTGCCCTCTTCTTCCCTGTTGTAATGATTATTGTGATCTTATAGTTCGGGTTTCCATTTTACGGTTGGGTCTCTATTTTTAGAGCTCTCTTCAGTCATATTTTCATACCTTTATTTTACTACTTTTAATAGTACCCAGCTTATAAGATAAAGGTCTGTCTGTGGACATATTTACCTGCATTTTTTTATGAGCTCCAAGTTGAGAGGGTTACTTCTCCAAAGGAAACCTGTACTCCCAAATTTTTAATGCATACTATCTTGTTGTTTTTCTTTAACTTCAGTAAGATAAAATTTTCCCCAAGGTAAGCCTCTATATCACATGCTCTGCTTTTAGTGGAACATCTTAAATTCAACAGCCCTACATTTAGATACATTTAGATTTAGATACTTAATTATATAAATCTTCACATATAAAAGATTCTGTCAATTTTTCTTTTATACATTAACTATTCTGTCAAAATTTATTACATATAATAGGGAAATTACTATGTAGTAAACCCTCAAAGAAAAAGTAATTTTCTTATTTTCCTCCATCTGTGGGTTTGAAGGGAGTAAGACAAAGGTGGGGATAAGAGGTGTGGTGCTTCCTGTATATCCTTAATTTATCATATAGGTCTGGGGGATATGAAGATGAATAAATAAATAAATAAATAAACAAATAAAATATTTGCTCCCTGATTTCAAGAAACTCATTAACAGAATCAGAAGGATTGTGCTTTTAGGTGAATGTGCTTTACAATACTATGTAGTCCGTCCATTGGTGGGAATGCAAAATGATGCAGCCACTCTGGAAGACAGCATGGAATTTCCTCAAAAAGTTAAAAATAGAAATATCCTATGACCCAACAATCGTGCTACTATGTATTCATTCAAAAGAAACAAAAATGCTGATTCAAAGGGGTACACTACCCTGATGTTTATAGCAGCATTATCAACAATAGCCAAACTATTGATAGAGCCTGAGTGTCCATTGGCTGATGAATGGATAAAGAAGATTTGGTGTATATATATTCAATAGAATACTATTCAGCCATCAAAAAGAATGAAATCTTGCCATTTGCAATGACGTGGAAGGAGCTAGAGTGTACTATGCTAAGTGAAGTAAGTCAGGGAAAGACAAATACCATGTTATTTCACTAATATGTGGAATTTAAGAAACAAAACATAAACATATGGAAAGGGTGGAAGAGAGAGAGGGAGGGAAACAACCATAAGAGACGCTTCACAAGGAGAACAAATTGAGTGTTGATGGAGGGAAGTGGGTGGGGGATGGGCTAGAAGTGGGCAGTGGGATGTGGGTGGGGGGATGGGTATTAAGGAGGGCACTTGTTATGATGAGCATTGGGTGTTACATGTAAGTTATGAATTGCTAAATTCTCCTGAAACCAATATTACACTATATGTTAACCAACTAGAATTTGAATGAAAATTTGGAAAAACATACTGTGTAGTTACTTTCTACTTTTCCAATTTGTACATGTCCTGCCATTTCCTTTGACGAGATAGGCTTTAATATTTCAAATTTTTCTTAAGCAAAATTCTACGTTTTTATCCATTTAGACTTCTATCGTTTTCATATCAATCATACTCATGACCAATTAATATGAAAAGATTGGTCATTATAAGCATATCTGTAAGACTGGCATTAAAATTTAAACAGGTCTTGTTTAGGCTCTACAGTGGCTTAGTTTAACCATTGTCTTCTCCTTAGCTACATTCAAATGCACAAATATTCAAGAAGAAGCAAAGCAGTGTGGTAGGCATGATGGAGGAAATAAAGATAGATGTGTACTTTATGGGATTTTATGATACCAGGTCCTGGGGGAGACCTATTCTACAAAAGCCTAAAGCCTAGTTGGGAACATAAAGTTCTGTGGGTAATGCTCCTGGAGCTAGCTACCTGGGAAATATAGCTGCTTCTTAGGTTGACTGCAAGTATGAAGAAGTGATTGGATCAATAGTAATTCATCTAAAAAAAATCCACAGGTGACTAAAGATAGAAAAAGCGTGGAGATGCTTTTTAAAAGAATGGGTCATTTTTACAAAATCACCTGATTTATCTAGTATTACTGGGGATGAATTAGTTCTCATAGGGTTATATTTCTAAACTGTTCAAACTGAGTATCTCTAAGCACTAAAACACTTGCTATAGTAAACGTTGTGAAGGAATAATTTTCTAAAACATATATTCTTCCAACTTCTGAAATTGACCAATATTTTAATTTTTGTTATCTCAGAATTACTATTTAAATACTACTACTCTAGCAGTATACTACAATTATATCCTTAGGAACTGTTTTAGGACACAGAGTTGTTTTTATAAGGCAAGTCTACATTGATAGGATATTTGAATTAGTAGATCTGATTGATTTATTTTTCTTGTCTCTTGCCTTGCTAGAAAGTACTCCTTATGGCTTCCTACTATTGATGTGTCTGCTTTTTTTTTTTTTTAACACCCTGTTCAAATTGACATATTAAAATTTCCAGTGCAAAGGAAATAAAACTAAATGAAACAAAATCTGATAGCATTTTCCTTAAGAAAAAGAAAATGGACTCTAGGTGAGTAGTTAAAGGACATCCTTATGAGTAAACTGCAGGCACCTGATGTTCTCTATTTTGCTGCTCAGAGATTTTATTTATTTACCTTCGAATTCTTTGTTGTATTCTGAAGAGCAAAGGTTTCAGCCATATCCTTTCTGGTTTGGATAGGAATATATAGCACTATAGTATCTTTTGAATTTCTAAATAGTTTTTTGGCTAATGTCTTTAAACTAGAGAGTAATCTTTAAAAATATATTTCTATGTCCTTGTTATACAGAAAAAAACAAGCAAATTTATTAGCATAATAATTTGCCATCTGGCATTAAGGAATATCAATCACAAATTCCAACACAGTAAATGCTATGGATCTACTTGCTGGGAAGGAAATAACTTTTATGTATTTAATTTTTTTAACAAGTATATATTTTGCTACAATGAGGTCAAAAAGATCAAAGACACAAATTCTTAGGACTCCTGCATCAGACTTAGAAAATTTCCAGAGGAAGAGAATAGCTCAGAAAATGGAAACATGTATAATTCTAAATCTAAAACAACGCAAAGAGCTCTCTCTACAATTGGCCAACAAAGCACCTTGAGAGAAATACTGTAGCACTTAGAATATACCTCCATATTCTGAGCAAATGGATCCTTTGGATCACACAATGTTGAAGATATTCGATGGTTGCCACGGAAACATCGCTGACTTATATTCTGGGGGACTGGAAATGTCTGCCGAATGATTGTTAACCTTCCAATTGACCTTCTTACAAGTTCCTGAACATCCACATCATTTATTTCCTATAAGATAAAAAATGGAAGGATTAGAAATGCTATAATAAATAATAAACAGAAACACAAAACTATTAAAGAGTTGTTATCTGTAAATGCTAAGAAATTCATTACTGTAATGCATTTGCCAGTGCTTAGTACACATCCAAATAAAAACAATACATGTTCATTAAAATGATCAACTCATTTGTAGGTGTTGTTTGTATGTTAAATTACATCATTAATGCCTAAGTAATTCTAAATGGAGCAATTGATTAAATGCACTTTATTTAGGAATTTTGTATTATATTGAACACTTTAGAAAACTATTTGTCTAAACATTGAAAAAGGTCATAAATTAAGTGGATTTCAAGGTACTTTGAGTACCCAGAAGAGAGTTGCAATGTAAGCATAATATATATTGTTCTTAGCAATGAAAAATGGGGCTTTTAAATAAAGCAAGTAGAGAAAGTAAGAGACATTTTAAAAAAGATGTTCCTAATTATTTCTTAGAACTACTGGTATTAACTCATACATTTCTCTTGGTAAAGAACAGATTAAACAAAGTGTTCCAAAAGATGAAACATTTTGTATTAATACAATGTGAACCAGGATAGGTAAATGAAGAAAAAAAAAACAACAGTGTTCTTTTTCCAAATTGATGTTATTTTGCATATGAGTATTTGCCAAACTCAAAGAACATATTTTTCTACTTCCTTCTCCCCCCACTTCCTAACTCCAGACTTAAATTTTAAGGCTTGGCTCAATCATGGATGTAGAAGCAATAAAAATGAAATAATATTTTTACAACTTAACATCTGTTCTAACTGGAATTAGTCAGACTACAAGTGATCAGAATAAATTTTAGTTTGAAGGCAGTCTTTACTAAAGCAGTTTGTTCTTCACAGTGTCCATTCGGAACATTTCAAACCAATGAAGCCTTTGCAATTAACATATTATTGGTTTCAGTAGATTCTTATGGTAACAGAAACAAAAGATTTGACATAAGATAAATTTTGGACTGCAGTGAGAATTTCGGTTTTGATTCAAACAATCATTACAGAGTAATGAAAAAGAAATGGACTATTTATTTACAGGTATAAGTTGTCTTCTTTTCCTTTCTAGATTAATTACATATTATTCCTAAAGCCTACATTAGAGCTTTAAAACTCATTCCTTATTTTTTCAACTTTACAAAATACAGATTTTCTGAAAATAAAACAAACCTGCCATCAGCTGTATCCAGTATAATATCATGGATTTCTGGTCAACGAATCCTTAATGTACCATGAAAAATGTTTTTTTCTCATTTAAAATGCCATCTTTTATCCTTTAGTTTGTGTAATTTCACTAGCCATCAGGAACACTATCTGACAAAAGGCAGGTCACCTTTTAATTATCTATCATCCACTCACAAAGCGGAATTAAGCAGTGTCTTATCAACTCTATTTTAAGCCTCAAGTTTAACCAGAGGTCTTTTCAAATTAATTAATATTGCTATTGAGTATCTTTACATTTTTTTATTAAAAAATTTTTTTTAATTTTTTTATTTATTTTTGTGACAGAGAGAGACAGAGCATGAGCAGGGGAGGGGCAGAGAGAGAGGGAGACACAGAATCCGAAGCAGGCTCCAGGCTCTGAGCTGTCAGCACAGAGCCTGATGCGGGGCTCGAACCCACAGACCGTGAGATCATGACCTGAGCCGAAGTCGGATGCTTAACCGACTGAGCCACCCAGGCGCCCCTCTTTACAATTTTTTTAATTCCATGTCGCACAGACAGGAATTTTCATTTAAAAGACAGTAAGAGGTTCTATCACTTTTCTCAGATTAATAACTAAGTTTTCATATATACGTGGTCTTTTTTTCTTTTAGTAATACTAAGACTTCTCAACATGTTGTCAAACAGCACCATTTCTACCTGCTACAACCATGAGCACGTTAGTATAAAAACATACATTAACTCTCTACTATATATTTGACAAAACACTAAGTACATTATGTGTTGTCTCATTTTCTGCTAAAAACTACATTCTGGTTCAGATACTATTATTCTTACTTTATAGATAAAGAACCAGAGAAATTCCAAAGTCTTCATTCAAAATATTCTTTATTCATGGTATGAATGTCACCAAAGACACTCTCTAAAGTAATTATACAATCCATATCTCCTTACGGGAATTATTTAGATTAATATTCATGAATGATAGGAATTAAAACTATAAAGATATATTATTCTAGTATTTAACAGCCTGATGATTCTATAAGGAATAATAGAGTAATCTATCATGAGCCAAAGTCTTTAAGAGGACTATTTTCAAGCCCACAAAAAGAGATGATTACCTTTTACAGGTTTTGAAAGCTGAAGTTATCAGGAGTCTAAGCGACTAAACTATATCTGAGGAAATGTCAATTTAAGTTGAATCTATTTTGCCTATTATTATTTGGGGAAGGGAAAAGGAAGTAATTTTCTGGGAGGAAAGAATCTGCCATTCTGAATGAAGGTAACAGACAGTTTGTCTCAAAAAATTCACTTGCGGTTTTAGTTTTGACACCTGATCTCAAAACTAGTTTGATAGTGATATGAAAACTTGATTAGGCAGCTATTTTATATTTACAGAACTTTACTTCTACATTTCAAAAGGTGCATTTCAAGAGTGACAGAGGCAATGCTATGTAAACACTGAAAGTCAAATGAAAATCTATTAAGAGATCCTTTTAAATGAAAAAAATTCATCAGTAAACTTCCATATTAAAATATGGACTACCGTATAATCTGTTAGAATCTACATTGTTCTAATACTCTGAACTTAAAAAAATGTTTAAGCCCCCCCTATTTTAAAAAGGAACCACGTGAAGAACCAGTTCAAATACTCACTCTCCCAAGCCTGCAGGGCCTCCAAATTATACTAATTCTCTATAAAGATATACAGATATGTTCTGAATTTTAAAAAAATTAAAGAGGCTGAAAAATAAAATTTTTGTCCTTTTTGTATTCCTTATATGAGTATATTTATGAAATAAGAATTAATATTGCAATAAAATTTAAACATATATTTTGTTGTACTTAAATTCTGTCTGTACTTCTTTTGGAGCAAAGCATATAGTCTTTTTTTTACCCCCAAAATAATGTACTTAGATAATAAAAAAATTGCTGAGATTCAAGTCAATATATTCAAGAAAATATTCTTATTCACTTTGTTGTGATAGTTTAATAAAGAGTAAACCATAAGAGAGAAGAAAGAGGAAATGCTAAAATACTTGTTGGGGATACAACTCCATCCAGAAACAGCCATTTCCCAGAACAAATCTTTTAGGAGAATTGGATCACTCCCAAATCTTTGTAGTGTATCAACGTGGGTTTAAATTAATGAATTCCAGAGAAAGGAAGACTCAAAATCATTAGATCAGATGCCAATCTATACTATTAAACCGTCTCAGAGAAGGGACCCTCTTTTTTCCCCATTTTAAAAAATCTCTTAATATTAACAAAGCTTTTGGTTCATAATACGTATTCACTAAACGTTGATAAATTTAAAAATGAATGAATAGGGGCATCTGGGTGGCTCAGTCGGTTAAGTGCCTGACTCTTGATTTCAGCTGAGGTCATCATCTCATAATTCGTGGGTTCCAGCCCTGAGCTTTCATCATGGAGCCTGCTTGGCATTCTCTCTCTCCCTCTCTCTTTGCCCCTCCCCTGCCTGCATGCTATCTTTCTCTCTCAGAAGAAATAAACTTAAAAAAAAAAAGAATGAATAAATGAATGAATGGCAAGACTTCACCAAACAATTGGTGATTGATAGATTGATAGATTCTGAATCTATTGATAGATTACCGAAATTTTAAGTGTAGAAACTGGAATGCTTTAATAACCTCAATACGACCAAATAAACCAAATAAACTAAACTAAATAGTTTAACAAATAAACCACATAAACTAAAAGATTTTAGTTGTTATTAAGCAGTGTACTATGTAGCACATTCGAAAAGATTATGCTTTTTGTTGTTTTTGCTAATGTTTATATTCTTCATACTTTGGTGAAGGTGATCCTTTGATGCTTCCACAAAGTTTAACATTAATGTGAAATAATTACACAAACATAATGTTGAAATATGAAACAAAACCAATTGAAGGCTATACACCAGAAGGAAGTGCAGCATAATGGCAACTTTCTGCTTGAGAGATTGGTAGTGAGCAGTTCAATTAATCCCTAAACTGGGAAAAATGAACAGCATCCTTTACACATATAGGATTTTTAAATCTCAACAACGATAACAACAACAACAACTTCTAAACTGCAATACTCATTTGCAGCAATTAAACTATTTCAATGAGAACTCAGGTTCAGTATTATCAGAGAAAAGATGGTGTTCATAGTATTATCCTTCTTGCATCTCTAAACAGTGTATATCTTTCTATCAGAATTTATAACTTTTGTAAAACTTAAATAAAGTGCCAGGCCATCTGTTTCAGGACCCTGAGGGGATGGCAATACTTATATGGAAAGGCTGTTCTCAGTTGGATTCACTGATTGCAGGGAGAAGATAAATATCATTACCAACTACTAACATATGATTGATTACACCATATGAGCTAGCACAGCCCCTTATTATTATAGCACTCTTAATGCAAAGGAAAAAAAATATTGTTTTCAAGTCTGTACATCAATTTGTATCAAGATGCACAAAGCCAACTTTGATTTATAGTGCCTCTCTTAAAAGCTATTGGTGCAATAGATTAAATAAATGTTTGCAACCCATTTAAAATTAGCAACAAAATAGTAGCTACACAAACCAAACTAGACAAATTCATGTCTTCCATGTTCAAATGAGCATTTGCATATTGTTAGATTTGTGTGTGTGTGTGGGGGGGGGGTGGTTGTTACTTTTACAGTTTAACTTCTTAGCAAATTTGAGAAATCCATGTTTCTTCTTTCATGGAAACTAGAATAAATTTGACTCATTCATTATAAATTTGTATGAGCAACTCACAAATGAAGTAAAGGTAGTGAGAATCAAGTTTCCTAAGGCAT